CTGGAAAGCAGTTTGGCAGAAATTAGATATAGACCAACATCTCACACTGTATATAGCGATAAGGTCAAAATCATTTAGACATAAAAGGTGATATAAACAAATTAAGGGAGCATGGAATATTTTATCTGTCAGATTTATGGATAAAGGAAGAATTTATGACCAAACAAGAGATAGAGAGATGTGATGTAAAATGGACAATTTTGATTACATCAAAATTAAAAAGGTTTTGCACAAATAAAACCAATGCAGCCAAGATTAGAAGGGAAGCAAGAAATTAGGGAAAAATATTTTTACAGCAACTTTCTCTGATAAAGGCCTCATTCCCCAACTGATAAATGGTTAAAGGATATGAACAGTTTTCAGATGAAGAGATCAAAACTATCTATAGTCATGAAAAAATGCTCTAAATCATTATTTAATGAGAGAAATGCAAATTAAAACAACTCTGAAGTACCACCACCTTACACCTATCAGATTGGCTAATGTAACTGTCAAACTCAGCTGATGGAATCTGACCTTGTGCTCATTCCCAGACTCATGAACTGCCTGCCAGGGGTGGGGAACCTGCAGCCTTGAGGCCACATGTGGTCCTCTAGGTCTTCAAGTGTGGCCCTTTGACTGAATCCAAACTTCACAGAACAAATCCCTTTAACAAAAAGATTTGTTCTGTAAAATTTGGACTCAGTCAAAAGGCTACACTCAAGGACCTAGAAGGTCATGTGGTCCTCGAGGCCAGGTTCCCCACCCCGATCTGAGGCTCACCAGACATCATTCCCAGACTCCGACTATTTTGTAAAAGTCCCAAACTCTCCCCTTCAGAGATTTCCAAGTTTTCTCTACAGACTTGTTATGCAAAACAACTTACCTTGTGAAACTGTGAGATGCTCGTAACCTCTCCCACCTGCAGTTAGCCATTCCTTCTGCCCTAGTATGCTCTATAAGCCCTGTTCCCACCTCCTCTTCAGGTACCCCAGCCCTTGCTGTGTGGCACCCTAAGCCGCAACTTGCTTGTGCCATTAAAGACCTCAATCTGCTATACTGGCTGTTTTTTCTTGAATTCAAGTTGACAACAGAAAAGGAAAATGACAAACATTGGTGGGGATATGAAAAAACAGGCACATTAATGCCCTGTTGGTGGAGTTGTGAACTGGTTCAACCATTCTGGACAGCAATTTGGAAAAATGCCCAAAGGGCAAACTGCATACCCTTTGACCTAGCAATACCACTACTAGGTCTATACCTCAAGAGATCAAAGAAAAAGGAAAAGGACCCATACATATAAAAATATTTATAGCAGCTCTTTTTATGGTGGCAAATAATTGGAAATTGAGGGGATGCCCATCAATTGAGGAATGGCTGAACAATTGTGGTATATAAATGTGGTGGAATGCTACTGTGTTATAAGAAATGACGAGCAGGATGCTTTCAGGAAAACCTGGGAAGATTTACATGAACTGATGCAAAGTGAAGTGAGCAGAACCAGGAAGCACATCGTACCCAATAACAGCATTATTATATAATGATCAAATGTGAATGACTCAGCTACTCTGAGGCTACTGCTGAAGCACTTATGATGAAAAATGCTATCCATCTCCACAGAAAGAGTTGATGGAGTCTGAATATAGATTGAAGCCTACTTTTAAAACTTTATTGTTTTGGGGTTTTTTTTGGTCTGCATTTTCTTTTGCAACATTGCTAATGTGAAAATGTTTTGTATGACTGCATGTGTATTATCTATATCAAACTTCTTGCCTTCTGAAGGAAGGGGTGAGGAGGGATGGAAAGAATTTAGAACTCAAAATTTTAAAAAACAAATGTTAAAAATTTTTGATTACATGTAATGGAGAAAAAAATTAAATATAACAAAAAAAGAGTTTACATTCTACTATGGGGAAACCTGTACTCATATCAGTAAAAACAAGATAATTCAAAGAGGCATGTAGAGGGAAGGATATTTTGGGGGATAACCTATACAAAAGTATTGCTCTTAAGATAGAATGCTTCCTTTAAGCTAGTAAGCCAGTTTAGCTAGGATGTAATGTGTGTAAAAAAGAGTAATATGAAATAAGTCTGGAAAGACAGGTTGGAGCTGGACTGGTTTAAACCTGCAGAGGTTCAAAATGAGTTTAAATTTTATACTGGAGGTAACAGGGATCTACCGAGACTTTTCAAAATGGAGACTAAATAGAAGATTATTACAATAGCCCAGGCAATAGTTAATAAAAGCCTGAACCAGGGGACAAAGGGACAACTGTGATAGGATTTGTGTAGGTGGATATGCCTAGAATTGGCAAATGATTAGCCAAAATGGGAAAATGAAAAAGGCAAAATATTGACAATAGTTATTTCCATTTCCCATAAAAAGTTTAACTAATATGAAACAATCACCAAAACGAGGAGGGCAAAAGCACCCTAAAATGCCACAATCAGCAAGACTTGAAAACCAAGGGCAACACCAATTTAGAATGCAAGCTTAATTGTAAACATTATGGGTAAGAATAGCAGGAGATTATGGGCAGTGTCGTTTCTTGAGAGTCAATGGCAGTGGAAGCTAAAGTAAGTCCACAGAATGTTTGGTATGAAACCCGATTAAGGCACATTATCCCAAGGACATACACTGATGAAACTGATGGGAACTCAACAAAAAGAGAAAATGGAACAAGTTTTCTTTGTTTCTACAGGGATCTGATTTGGTAAATAGTCTTACTGAAAGGATGGTTTATGAGCATTTCAAAAGAAGTGATTACTAAGAGCCTGCATAATGAGCCCATCAAAAGTAAGTTGGTATCAGCCTGTTATTGTTCAGTTGGTCAGTCATATCTGACTTTTCATGACCCCATGAACTATAACTGTCCAAGGGGTTTTCTAGGCAAACATACTGGAGTGGTTTGCTATTTCCTTCTTCAGCAGCTTAAGGCAAACAAGTTAAATGACTTGCCCAAGGTAGCCCAATTAGTAAGTGTCTGAAGCCAGATTCGAACTCAGGTCTTCCTGACTCCAGCCCCCATGCTCTATCCACTGAGCCATCTAACTGTCTCTATGTATCAGCCTCACTTCATTTCCCTTTTTGATGTGGTTAACGGGACTAGCAACTAATGGCAATGCCTTAAATATACATTTGACAAGTTTCTCATACTATTCTTGTGAATAAGATGAAGAGATCATAGAAATTTGGCAGTTCAGCTCCCTCACTTTACAGAGTAAACTGAAGCTCAGTGAACAACATGAAACCTATCGCTTAAGGTCATGCAGACAGTAAAGCAGCAAAAAGTAGATGGAATTCAACCATGGGTCTTCTGACTTGCAATCCACCCTTTCTACTATACTATGCTGTCTTAAACAGAGAAAATAACATCAGTGGGAAATGGCCTGGTTCTGTGACAGACATTCACTCAAGATCATAAATGGTGCAGGGGGACAAGGATGGAATTAGGGGTATGAATGGACATTCCAAGGGTCAAGGCAGGGGCAGTACTAGATTTGCATATCTAGTACAGGAAAGATGATAGTTCAGTTATGTAGATTCCAGACTGGAAGAATGACCAGAAAAAGAATGACCAAAAAGTAGTCACTAGTGACTTTAAGTCAGCCAGGAGAGAGGAGTCTAGTGCAGTGCCCTGCTGATCTGTCCTTAACTCTCTGTTCAACAGTGATTCATCAGTTACTTAGATGAAGTCAAAGATGGCATGTTTATCAAATCTACAAATGACTCAAAGCTGAGGAGGATTGTTAGCACATTGAGCAGCCATAGTTGGGATCAAAACAGATCTCTGTATGCTAAAATCATGGGCTGAATCTACTAAATTGAAATTCAGTAGAGAGCAATGTAAAGTTCTATACTGGGTTCAAAAATCAATTGCACAAGCACAAAATGAATGAAGCATGGCTAGAAAACAGTCCTTGTAAAAACATCTGAGGGTTTTAGTGCACTATAAACTTAATTTCTATCTACAATGTGACATGACAGCTAATAAAATCAATATACAATACAAATATTAGGCTGCATTAACAGAGATAAAGTATTCAGAACAAGGAGTTTTATGAAACTTTGCCCTTTTTAGGTCAAAATTAGACTTGTTCAGTTCTGGGAATAAAATTTTAGAAACTGCATTGACAAACTGAAACATTTTCAGAAGATGACCATAATGGTAAGAGGCCATACGAATGCCATATGGATATCAACTGAAGGCATTAAGAATATTTAGCCTAAAGAAGAGAAGCCTCACTCCAGACTACACCAGTCACTTCCTCCTGTAAACTCACTGCTTATGTAAGTCATTTCATAGTTAATCATATACTGTCTAGTGACATCTCTTGGGCGGAAAAAAAGAAAGTAGGATAACTGTCTCCAAGTATTAAAAAGGCTGTCACATAGAAGAGTCTTCTTCTGTTTATCCTCAGATGACAAAACTCAGAGAAATGGGTATGAGTTGCAGAAAAGGAGATCCAGAAGGAATGTAAAGAAAAACTTTCAAATTATTATAGTCTCTCCAAAAATACAATGGACCACCTCAGGAGGCAGTAGGTTTCCCATAAAAACAAGCCTCCAAACAGTGAATGTATAACTACTTGTTGGGAATGTTGTAATAAGGATTCCAGTTCATTTGGTCTAGATAACCACAGAAGTCCCACCATCTCCGAGATCCTGTGAATTCACATTAAGAACCAGCATACTAAGGGGCAGGTAGGTGGTGCAGTGGATAGAGCACCAGTCCTGAAGTCAGGAGTACCTGAGTTCAAATCCGGCCTCAGACCAAACATTTGACACTTACTAGCTGTGTGACTCTGGGCAAGTCACTTAACCCCAACTGCCTAAAAAACACGCAAAAAAAGAACCAGCATGCTACATAAGCATTGATTGAGAGCTCAGTCACTCATCACGGCTGCAAAATAGTACATTTTTCCCATCATAAATGTTTATAACAGGAGAGTAGTTATGATAAAAGCCTTTTCTAAAAGGCTCTTTTAAAATAAAAGAAAACAGAGAGAACATTTCATACCAAGTCTCCAGAAACTTGTCAGTGTCTGGCTTTGACTCCAAGGTCAGACGCCTCTCCAACTCAAAACTGTGGATAGACCGTAACTTTCGTACCAATGGGACATCTCTCTCTGGCTGGGTTGTCTCAGAGCGGACACGAATTGGTGAACCAAGGCTTGGAGCATTCAGTATACCATTTGCTGGACCATGACTATTCTCCTCTTCTGTAGCAGCCTATACAAAATATGCGAATATACAATTAGTTATAAGTACAATATGCGACAGACTCTTCTGAAACAAGTAAATCAAGATGAGCTGATATTAAGACTGATTTGTTTTCAGGAGATGCTTAGATTGCGCTGGCAGGTTGGTTTCACAATGTGCTTATTCACTAGCACACTGGTATCCTAAACTAATTGTCTGAATGGTATATTCAGTTCCAGTTTGACTATAATTTGACTTGGGAATAGGGAGAAAATAAAAAATGTATAAAATTATTTTAAATGAATAATAATCCCTTAAATATATCATCCAAAGAGTAACAACTTAGGATCTTCTCTATGTATACTTGGCTATCATCTTTTCTTTTTATATGCTCATTCAGTTTAGTGACCATTCTCGATGGCCAGGGTTGCTTGAACCTATCTGGAACACTATAATATACACTAGCATCTATTATGAATTTAAGCAGTTGGATATCACTATGATAATAAATGATGGACAAGGTCCGAGTCAACTGTCAATAACATTTAAGTTGAACAAACAGTGGAGAGGTTTAGGCCGAAGGTAGAAAATTACTGTCCCAAAGGATCAGTCAGTATATTCTATGGACTGAGCTGTCAGTTGGCAGATCTTACTGGTGACTCTCTGGAAATGAAAACAATCTAATCCTGGGACAATAATTCATATTTATATAGAATGTTAAGGTTTACAAAGCACTTTTCTCACAACAGCTCAGTGAAGTATTATCCTATTTTACAAATGAAAAAACTGAGAGCAAGAAGGAAAATGGCTTGGCCATAGTCATACAGCCAGTGAGTATCAGAGCTCAGGTCCTTTATCTTGAAGTCCAGTACTCTTTGCACCATGCCGTGCCAGAACTCTATCACTGATACAATGCACAGTCTGCCATGGCAGGGTCATATAATCCACAGCTCTGTCATGTTGGAAGAAGTCATGAAGAGCACAGATAATCTGCTATTGCCTCCCTTAACAGAGCGTAAAGGTCACATGTCCTCTGATTAGTCAGAATTCTTTGTTTAGTTCAGTGGGATGCCTGACAGGATGCTGTGCAAGACAGAGCTGGATAGTGAAGATTCTTTTTGGAATCTCTTCATAAGACATGGCATATCATCTATGCCAGGCCTGTACAACATACAGCCTACGGGTGGTATATTGTGCAGGCCTGTTTTATATCTTTTACATTTTTCATGGGCCACCTGAAATCCTTTGGCAGGCCATATGTTGTGCAGGCCTGATCTATGCTAATGTGGAAGAATCATCTAGAAGTTTCCTTTTGGCCATCAATTACAACCTCCTTTCAAACAAACTCTTTTAAGAGATCTCAAAATAGAGTAAACTGATATATGCTTCATCTCTTCTCCCTCAATGTTCTTCTTTGTCCTGTGACCTCTACTAGAGAAGCTAACCATCAACAGTTTGCATGACACAGCAAAAGAGTAAAGGAGGAGAAATATGGTAGTAATATGCCCCCTAGGTAATTAAGACTTGACTAATACTATAAACAGAAATCCACATAACAATTGCAATCATAATGCAAAAATGTTGTGTTCCTTCAGTCTCTAAAGTAGTTGAAAAGTGCCTTGAAAAGTAACACAACTGATGAAATGGGTAACATTCCTAACAAGATCTTAACAATTAATATGTGCTCTAGCTCAGCTGTACCTATCAGTTTCTAGTGCCAACACCACTGGAAATTATAAGCCTTAAGACTCATTTCTGATCACTAAAACAACCATCACAAAAATCCTAGGCTTTGAAATCAGTTTTTAAGGATTAAAAAAAGAAAAGCAAATTCCATGGTTTCTAACAGTTACTGAATGTGAACATGTTTAAAGGCAATTCACTCTTTAAATGTGTACCTGTGATAAATGAACTGCTGTCTTCACTCGACCAAATTTATATATTCGAACTTCACTAAGAAAAAGGGCAAGTGGGAATTGTTTAACACTAGATAACTGAGTCAGAAGTAGTAATATGAACTGTTCTTTAAGGTTTTATAGCAGGTAATATCAGCAATATACAGCTAAAATTCCAAATATGTTAGATAGCATGTTAGTTGGTATACTAACTAGTTAGTATAGACAATTAATATGGTCCATTTCCCCGTGGGCGGTAAATGTTTACTGCTATCCACAACTATTCCAATGGAATCAGCACGTGGTCTGGACCATGCCTCACTTAGGAGAGCTCAGTGGCCAGTATATAATCACATTTCCAGCAGTGTGGCAAAAGGAAAGGGATTGGGACCTTAGCAAGACATTATGAAAGGTTTGCTTTTTTATCTAAGCCTTTTTGTTTGTAAAAAACATAATTTCACCTTCTTCACACAGCGAAGATAAAAAGTTAATGTTTGATGTTGGCAAATTGAAAAGCCTGGAAAAAACATGCTACAGAAGCGTAGATTATTAGTATTAAAATGCCCATGAACTGCCAGGTATTCTGAATGCTTCTAATTACTAAAGTTAATAAAGTCATACACTGCTAATTTAATACAATTAGATAAATTCAGTTAAGAGCACAGGAAGAGACATGCTTAAGAGGTACACACCTTACAGATCCCCAGTTTTATCTTGTTCCTGTTGATATCCATTTCTTCCCAGACATCCTTCTCCTGAGGACGAGGGTGTCCCACAGATACAGGAAGTTTTTCTGGTGATACACCAACAGGGATACCATTCTCCCCATCACTGAGCTGTTCATCTGGAAATACCTCATCTGTATTTTCTCGAAGTAAGTCTCCTGGAATAGGGGTGGCATTTGCAATTCTATATAGGACAAAAGAGACAAGACTTATAATCAGCACAGAGATAAAAATACTATGAGGCTATTCTGCTTTTGATTCCTACATTATGATAACAAAGTCCACACATACTAAGGCTATGAAAAACAAAAAAAGAAAGAGTCTTTAGAACACCAGGCTATGTCCATGTTGGGGCATGAAGATTCCAAAACTTGTTCAACTGCAATTTTTTCACATGGCAATAAATTCACAAATCTAAATAAAATATTCTACTGACTTGACTTAATATGACTCAACAGAAGTTAAATCAGAAATATTATCTATCATGTTATTCAAGAAAAGCCTTTATTAATTAAAATGGAATTCCTAATTATTGGTAATTTTCCCAAGGATTAGGAAAAGAGTATTATAAAGAGAATGAGTTCAACATAAGGGCGATCACATAATCAACTTACCATGTAAAACACTAAAATTGCCTGCACAAATATTTGGAGACACCTTTCTGCAAAATCATAGGAATTCAGATATTTGTAGGACATGACTTGCTGTATCCTGGAGGAAAACCCAGAACCCACTATTCTATATTCCGTTTCAATCATGATGTCCTGGAACTTGTTTAACTTCTTTGTGCTTATATATCTTTTAGATGGTTGGTCCTCTCTAATTAGACTATTAATTTGTCAAGGCAGTGGTCAAGTGTTCTGTTTCTTTTTTGTCTTGTTTTGTTTTGTTTTGTTTTTTCCTTTTAGGCAATTGGGGTTAAGTGACTTGCCCAGGGTCACACAGCTAGTAAGTGTCGAGTGTTTGGTCTGAGGCCAGATTTCAACTCAGGTACTCTTGACTTCAGGGCCAGTGCTCTATCCACTGCGCCACCTAGCTGCCCCAAGTCTTCTTTGTATCTTTTCATAACACCTAGAATTCAATATACCAGGTGTTCTAAAAATATTGTTGCCTAGAAACAAGTACTTAGCAAAAAATTGTACCCTTTTCTTGGTAGTAATTTGAAATGTCTGGAAATAGACACAGATCCTTCAACAGAGCATGGGGATAATGGCCAAACAATGTGTAGTTATCACAAGAACGTCTGTTTTGTACAGGCATCCTATGATGCTCTGTGTGATTTCATTTAAGGATAACACATTTATAGAATCTTAAAGCTGGAAGGGACCCTAGAGACTGCCTAGTTCAGGGGTGGGGAACCTGAAAGCCATGAGAAGCCACAAGGTGGACTAGGCCAGTCACACAGTCAGATCAGTGTGCAGGATGGACTAGAGGCAGAGGGATGAAAGGAGACCAACTGGCTAGGAGGGGGTTGAACTAGAGTGTGAGCTTTGTGAGTGAAGAGAAAGGGCTGGATTGGAGAGATGCTGCAGAGACAGAAATGACAAGAGCTGGTACCTGCCTGGATATGTGAGGCAAGGGAGAATGCGGAGCAAGGCATAATGCTAAGATTACTAACTAGGGACACTGGAAGGAGAGTGGTGCCTTTGACAGAAACCAGCAAATAGAGAACAGGGAAGATCTGAGAAAAAGCCAAGTTCAGTTTTAGGGATGATAAGCCAGTGAGAGAGAGCAAAGCAGCAATCAGACAAGTAGGAGAAATAGAAGAAAGGAATGTCACACACACCTGGAGACAGAAACAGCACCCAGAAGGCAGTGGTGGGGTCAGCAATGCCAAATGCAGGTTAAAATGAACTGAGGAAAGACTGTTGGTCACTTTGGGGAGAGTAGTTGCAGCTGTGTGATGAGGTGAATGAATTAAAAGGGCAAAAACAAAGCCATGGCAAAGGAGCCCAAGAATCTAAGAGCGACATTAATAGGAAGGAGTCAGCATTCCTGCTGTCCTCTGAGTACCTGAAGTGCCAAGTTCTGGCCATTACATTCATGAAGGACAAACGAGAAAATCCATCAGGGCAACCACAAGAGGGAACCAGAAAAGCCACTCCAAGAGAAGTGGCTGAAAGCAGGTGCTTTGTTTAGCCTGGAGGAAGAGAACATTTTGGGGGAGGCCATGACATAATCCTCAGGTAATCTGGTCATGTGGACAAGGGCTGTTCTCTGTGGGTTCTAAAGGACAGGCAGAAGCAATGAATTACCATTAGAGAGAGGGACTTTGGTGGGACAGGAAGAAAAACTTCTTAACAACCAGAAGGATTCAAAGACGCTAGAGAGGGCTACCTGGAGACTGGCAAGGGCCTTATCTTCCAACAGAGATGAGGTGACCAAGTGTCAGAGCTGTCATAAGAAGGTCCAGGAGTGTCGAGACCAAGTCAGGGCAAAAGCCAAAGAACAGAACCTGTTGTATCACGAAGACAAATATTACATGTAACCGTCCAAGGATCGTCCTCAACTCCCTGTTATTTAATCTCCTCCCATACCTAGCCCAGTAATCTGAAACCCAAGTTTATTGATTTGGTTGTGAACGATGGGAATCCTACTCAAGATTGGAACTGGCCTAGGTTCAGAGCTTCTTAAACTTTTTCCACTCACAACCCCTTCAGTGCTTTTTAAAAGTGACCCATTTGGGGTCACAACTCCCAGTTTAAAAAGCACTGACCTAGATGATCTCAGAGGTTTCTTCCAACTAGAAGATTCTGAGGCTGGAAGGGAAGTTCTGAATTAACAGCTCTCTGGTAATGAAGTCCTATGCTATCTCTAGCTCAGGAAACCCCAGCCCCAGCGCCCAATATCTGCAGGAGTGCCTCCTGCCACCCCACACAGCCAGGGTTCTTTTGGGCTGGGGTCCCTTCAGCTTAGTGTTAAAGGCTCTAAACAGAACTTTATATATACAAGCGATAGTGATTGAGTCAACTAGAAAACAAATATTTATGAAACTCAGGTGAGAGACTCCTATCCCATTCCAATAGTAAACTCCATGCTAGAGTTTGGGGGCTACCAGGTACCAGTTCCAGCCCTCCTGGTTGTTTCCCTGCTTTCTGTTAGGTACTTCAAGTGTAAGATTTTGGGGAAATTGATAAGTGTAGGGAATAAAAAGGAAATGGGGACCCAGGGGGGAAGAACACATTCTAACTACATGGTAGACACCATAATTTAAAGGAAAGATGACAGGATCTGGGGTTGCATCCTGGGCCCTATTAGTTACTGGGTAAACTTAGGAATTCCCTGCCCTTTTCTCAGCCTCAGATCCTGAACTGCAAAAATTAGAAGGTTGGACTAGATTCCTTCCAGCTCTTACCAACTAACAAGACCAGTGATCAACTATGCTCCCCACCTCCTACCAGGGAGGTGATGGACTCCAAATGCATAAAAAGGTACTTATTTCTGGACACAGCTAATGTGGGAGTTTGTTTTGTTTGACTAAGGGTTTTTTCTTTTTCAAGGTGGGGAAAGAAAATGCATGTGAATTAAAAACAAAACTAAAACAATCTGAACAAAATCTTAAGTCTATATAAAATGAGGTGGGAATGTTTATGTGGCTTCCTGTTTCCTATGAAGACTTGGGATTTGGAAATGCCAATTTCCAACTGGAAATACAGAGTTCCAGAGCAGGCAGGGAGATAACAGTTCAGAACTCTTGAGCTGATGGAACTGTGAACTTCAATAACAATAGCTAGTATTTACATAGCACTTTACCTGTTACATTTGATCCTCACAAAACCCTGTGAGGGAGATGATGGCAGAGGAAGGTTAGGTGACTTGTCCAGGGTCATACAGCTCATGTCTGAGGCTAGATTTAAACTCTGATTTTCCTTACTCGAAGTCTCACTCTCTATCTAGTATGCCACTAGCTAGCTGACTTGCTTGGTATAGAGCAGAAATACACACAGGCATACCCTCTCTTTTTACCATAGTTTATGAATCCCTCTAACAACGAGAGTTGGGATGGAGGAGCTGGATGTTATGAACATGGGAGTACTTGGAAAACTACACTCAGTGTGGAGAAAGCCTGAATGCTCGTGGGCCACACCAGAGTACTCTAGCCATGACTGAAATCAGCACTGAGATCAGGAACACCACAATCTCTTTTCCATATTACAGGCTACTACTGCAGCTCCCCATAACAGCCAAAAGAGCAGCTCTGATCTTGTGGAAAGAACACTAGACTTCAAATCAAAACCTGAATTCTGTCTCAGCTCGACTCCTTAGCGTCTATAAAATGAAGAACCCTAACACTAGCAGGACCTACTCTCCCTCCTGATTTTGAGGAGAGGTACAGTTAGCTGGGTTCTAGAGCCCACATGGGTGTTGGCTACAGGCAGGAAAATGTGAAGGACAGCACTCCTTCCTCCCTCCCTCCCAGAAGTGTTCTACACCTCAGCCGCGCTGCTAGAGGGTTGTAGTGTGCCACAGTGGAGACCTTCCAAAGTCACCCTGAAATCAGGGAAAACAAATAGGTCTGTGCCCCTTCCCCCACCCAGGCTGTTTACAATCTCACCTCTAAGACCTTCTGCTCATAGGCCACAGGCAGTCTGGCCAGTCGGTAAGGGTTTCACTCCCCAAGCCCCAGTTCCTGGTGACATCAAAGTAACCAGCCAATGAGGAGCTCCCAGGTAACAGCTGTCTGGGTATACATGGGCTGAGATGTGAAAGCTGGCATTCAGATTTCCTGA